AGGTTAGGGTAGGATGATAGTAACCAGGGTAAGATGATGATAGTCAGGGTAGGATGACAGTACCCAGGGTAAGATAATTGTAACCAGGGTAGGATGATGGAGGTTAGAGTAGGATGATGGTAACCAGGGTAGGATGGTAATAACTAGGGTAGGATGATGGTGGTTAGGGTAGGATGACGGTACACAGGGTAGGATGGTGGTAACTAGGGTAGGATGATGGTAACTAGGATAGGATGATGGTAGTCAGGGTAGGATGACGGTACCCTGGGTAGGATGATGGTGGTTAGGGTAGGATGATGGTAACCAGGGTAGGATGATGGTAACTAGGATAGGATGATGGTAGTCAGGGTAGGATGATGGAGGTTAGAGTAGGATGATGGTGACCAGGGTAAGATGATGATAACTAGGGTAGGATGATGGTAACTAGGATAGGATGATGGTAGTCAGGGTAGGATGACGGTACACAAGGAAGGATGATGGTAACCAGGGTAGGATGGTAATAACTAGGGTAGGATGATGGTGGTTAGGGTAGGATGATGGTAACCAGGGTAGGATGATGGTGGTTAGGGTAGGATGACGGTACCCAGGGTAGAATGATGGTGGTTAGGGTAGGATGATGGTAACCAGGGTAGGATGGTGGTAACTAGGGTAGGATGATGGTGGTTAGGGTAGGATAATGGTAACCAGGGTAGGATGATGGTGGTTAGGGTAGGATGATGGAGGTTAGAGTAGGATGATGGTGGTTAGGGTAGGATGATGGTAACCAGGGTAGGATGATGGTAACCAGGGTAGGATGGTGGTAACCAGGGTAGGATGACGGTACCTAGGGTAGGATAATGGAGGTTAGAGTAGGATGATGGTGGTTAGGGTAGGATGATGGTGGTTAGGGTAGGATGGTGGTAGTTAGGGTAGGAGGATGGTAGTCAGCGTAGGATGATGGTGGTTAGGGTAAGATGGTGAAAACCAGGGTAGCATGATGGTAACTAGGGTAGTATGATGGTAGTCATGGACCGGAATCCTTCCTTAACTATGCCCTTATACACTCTCCCCCAACCACGCCCCTACACTCACCCCCAACCACGCCCTTACACTCTCCCCAAACCACGCCCTACACTCTCCCCCAACCACCCCCTACACTCTCCCTCAATCACACCTCACACTCTCCCCTAACCACGCCCCTACACTCTCCACCAATCACGCCCCTACACTTTCCCCCAACCACGCCCCTACTCTCTCCCCCAACCATGCCCCTACACTCTCCCCCAACCACGCCCCTACACTCTCCTCCAACCACGCCGCTACACTCTCCCCCAACCACGCCCCTACACTCTCCCTCACCCAACCACGCTCCTACACTCTCTACCAACCACGCCCCTACACTCCCCCCCCAACCACGCCCCTACACTCTCCCTAACTACTCCCCTACACTCTCCCCCACCCAACCACGCCCTTACACTCTCCCCCAACCACGCCCCTACACTTTCCCCCAACTGCGCCCCTAAATTCTGCTCCAACCATGCCCCTACACTCTCCCCCAACCACGCCCCTACACTTTCCCCCAACTGCGCCCCTAAATTCTGCTCCAACCATGCCCCTACACTCTCCCCCAACCACGCCCCTACACTTTCCCCCAACTGCGCCCCTAAATTCTGCTCCAACCATGCCCCTACACTCTCCCCCAACCACGCCCCTACACTTTCCCCCAACTGCGCCCCTAAATTCTGCTCCAACCATGCCCCTACACTCTCCCCCAACCACG